GCTAGGGCTAGTTGGAGTGTTGGACTGGGTTCCAGGGCTGAATTTGTCTCTTTGTCACGTGTGCCCTTGGACATGAACCTTGCTATCTCCAGTCTTCTGTTTCAGCCTTTGCCCGATGAGGGATTAGTCTGAGTGACCTTGGGGTTCTGACCAACACAGACCCCTAGGCATTTGGGTTGGTGTCAACTTCATTCCTTTGCCCCCGAGAGGACAGAGGAGGAGGAAGCTTTGAACCTAGATACTGAGTTACCCTTGAGTAAAGCCAGGGCTGTTCCACCCCTGTGGTGCTAGGGTGCTAGTCATAATCCAGGCTGGATGAAAATGCACCCTCATTCCACTGGCCCACTGGACCCCAGGGCATTGCAGGGAGTTCTCTCTAGGAAGTCTGAGAGGCATGGGGGTGAATCCACAAGACGAAGACCGGTAGAATTTGCGAGGAAGGAATTTTCCATGGAAAAGTGGGGTGGAGGGAGTTGCCAGGGTCTTGGCAGAAGCAGGCTGCCCAGAAGGTAGTGGAGATAAAGCCCAGGCTGCAGATTAGCTCTGGGATTAGCCCTGCCTGGTCTTTGCTGCTCCTGGCTGCTTCTTATCTCCTGGAGGCCCAGGGCCCTCTCTCCCCACAGCTCTGAGCCCTGGTCCTGCTAATTGCCTATTAACCCTGTGGGCTCTGTGACTGCAGGAGGAAGAGGAGCCAGCCAGAGGGCTCAGGGAGCAAACCAGGCAGCCAGACAGGAGAGCTATCTGGGGAAATGGGAGCTGTGGATAGATGGAACACAGAGGACTGAGAGAAGCCATCGCTCAGGGGCACAGGCTCTGGGCGGATCTCTCCCAACTCCTGATCATTGTCTCAGTCAGACGCCGGGCAGGGGATGGGAGTGGGGGGAAAGAAGTCAGGCCCAGGGGGAAGTCTAGGAGAAAGATAAGAGATAGAGACTGGCACCCAGACTAAAGTATGGACAGAGGGGAAATGGAATGTGATAGAGATTCAGAGAGCAAGGGGACAGAGGCCAGGGGGCATCTGGACAATAGGAGAGAAAGACAGAGGCCAGGGTGATGGACAGGCTGACAGAGGGCCAGGGGCAGAGAAATAGAGTCTAGAGAGATAATCGATCAAGTGACAGGGACAGATAGGCAAGGGGGATAGAGGATCACTGGAGAGACAGGCTGAGATCAGGAAACAGACCTGGGCCAGGCTCTCAGCCAGTGCTAAGGGGAGAGGTCGCAGAGGACAGGCAGAGAGCTGGCCAGAATGAAGGTGGGAGAGGTGACCCAAGGGAGTCCTACCTAGAGGCTGCCCATGTTCTGTCCTGAGGGGGCTTGGGAGGCCACACACTCCTGCTAGGGCCTGGAGAGTCTGGGACCAAAGCAGAAGGGAGAGAAGGCCAGGCCAAAAGCAGCTGTAGGGGCCTGAGATGGTTACAGGTCCCAGAGGCCAAGGTGATCTGAGGATGGCCACTTCACTCTAAAAAACACTTCTTGGCCCAGGACCTCCTTTCTCTGTGATTAGGCCCTGGGCTCTAAACTCTGCACACACACCTTCCTTCCAGGCCATTCCATGGGGAGGGAGAAGTGGACAGCCAGTGGGACCTTGTGGCTGAGCAGTCGTGCCGTCTCCATGGAAGAAGCTTCAGGCTGTGCTGCCACCAGAGTTCTGCCACTTAGGAGCCGGCAGCTGGCTCCAGGCCGCTTCCTGGGCCAGGGACTGTCTCCGGGGCAACGCTGTTCTCTGCCCAGCAGTGGGGCCTGACCGGGGCTGTGCAGGTGGCTAGGTCCTGCTAGTCTGGCCTGTCTATTCCCAGAAGAGTGTCCCTCAGACCTGAACTACTTCCACCTACTCTCCTGTTACATTCTCTTCCCCCTGACAGCCACCTTAGGATAATGTACCAGATAATAGCCCTCTGCCACACCCAGATTTGCTCTGCCAAGCACAGGGCTGGGCTCACTGTCCTAAAGTGTGTCTGTTGGATGTAAATACAAACCTCCATACTGTGCCACCCAAGCTCAGGAGTCTCCAAGAGTCATTCATTCACTCAACACCTACTAGCTGTTTGTGTGTGTGTGTGTGGTACTGGGATTTGAACTCAGGGCCTGCATCTTAAGCCACTCCACCAGCCCTTTTTTGTGATGGGTTTTTTTGAGATAGGGTCTCACAAACTATTTCCTGGGCTGGCTTTAAACCACAATCCTCCTGAGCTCTGCCTCCTGAGTAGCTAGGATTATAGGTGTGAGCTACTGGCGCCCAGCTCTACCAGGTGTTTTATTAACACTTTTTGTGCTTTCACGTGGGGCTCTTCTCTGTTTAAGTCTCCCTGCCCTTTACTTGCCGTGTTTCCAGCCACACCTGTTCCTCCTCGAGCTTCAGTTACCTTATCATTAAACAGGGGGCAACAATACTGAGCTCATTGGCTTTCTTTGAAGGCTCCAAGGAGAAAATAGACCCAAAGCACCTACCAAAGGGCCTGGGACAAAGTAGGGGTGTTTGATAGTGTTTCTTTCCTTCCTCCCTCACCCTCCTCCTGAAAAACTCACTGAGCTCTGGAGATGCTCAGGGAGAAAGAGGACTTGCAGCCTCAGGGAGTTCTGGACCCATGGGTAAAGCCAAGCTTCAGAGAAATCGTAGTGTCTCGAAACCAGGCTCCATCGAGGTGCTGAGTACGGAGGGACATGAAGAAGCATCTCACCATCCAGGTCCCCCACACAGCCCAGGCCTCATTCAGCCTCTCAACTTGAACATGTACCCAAAACTGGCTGCACTGGCAAGAACTGATCCCAGCATCATCTTGGCCTGAAAGAGGAAGAGGCTGGATGCTTTGAGATTTTTTCAAATATTTATATATTCCATCCATCTCCCTTTCCCACACCAGCAGGGGCTCAGGAGTCTTACACCCAGCGCACTTGTTATTCCTCTACCTCCAAGTGACATGTGACAGCACAGGTCTAGGTCCAGGCGGCTGGACTCTTGCACTTTCATCTAGAGCTCCTTTCTACTCAGTGTGGTCCCATGGATCAGCAGGTTGTTCAAAACAGGACTGGCCCTGTCCAACCACACCCATTTATTTATTAAATCAGGCAACACTTCAAAAAGGTGCCCAGGTGGTTTGTGTGCACATTGGAGTTTGAGAAGCACTGATTTGGGGACCTTGGCAATTGGCCTAATTTTCTGAGCCTCGATGGGGACATCTGTAGAATGGGGAGTAATAATACCAACCTCGGTTAGTTGTGAGGATTCGGTGGGACAGCTTTTTAAGCTAAATGTTTAAAATACACACTGCCTGTGGATATTGAGGGCTCTGTAATGCCCACTCCTGCCCCACGCGTGGACAGGCAGCAGGGAGGGTACAGGTGGGGGTCAAGGACTTGAACCCAGAAGTTGAGAGACAGGTGAGGAATTGAAGCAGCAGGTGTGGAGAGGAAAGGGTGAGGAAGGAGCAGGGAAGTGGAGCAGAAGGGAGAGAAGTCTAGGAGAAAAGAAGGGTTAGGGTGTGGTGCACATACATCCTGTCTCATTTCACCTAGGCCAGGCTGAGACCCAGGTCTTGAGACAAGATAGGCTTCAGCTGGGGGATGCTAGCAATGGATTGTGGGAGCAGCCGAAGCTCTGCATGCAGATGAGTTCTGTAGACTCTCTAGCTGTGTGGCCTTATGCAAGTCACTTCACCGCTCTGTGCTACATGTTTCTCATTTGTAGTAACAGAGATAACTAAATCTACCTGAAAGCTGAGTCGCTGAGTGGATGAAGTAGGGCAGCAGTAGATGTCATGATCTGTAAACTCCAAGGTGCTAGTCCATGTTTTTATTTCAGGAATTGGGGTCAGGGAGGTTGGGGGATGGAAGATGTTGAGGGGAAGATCATGGTTTCCCCACCCTGGACCACGAGGCTGGGCAGTTGGCTCAGTAGGGTAGGGAGGCCCTTAACCATGCTTCACAAGATGTCTCCCAGGACCCCTTGAATCTGCTCAGAATTCTGCACTTGGCTGTCCTCAGCCCAGCCTGGCCCTCTGGCATCTCCCTCTGCAGTCGGGCCTCCAGAAGATCCTTTCCCTCCACACAGCTTCATGCCATTTTCCAGCTTTTAGTGTGAACATGTTCCCGAGGAGAGGGGAGGGGAGGAGTGATTGAGTGCGCTGACCCCTTGCCCCCAGGGAAGGTGCTGCCTGTGATAGATTTGACCCAGGGGCTCGTCTCTGTGGGGTGAGCCTGGCAGGAGGGAACTAGATCTGCCTCTCGCTCAATGGTTCTCCCACCCCAGCTGCTGCACTGCCTCCAGCGGCAGCTAAACCCCAGCCTGAGCCTCCCTTTCTATCTCTGGGACGCCATCGCCATCTGGTGTCCACTCAGGAGAACTCTCCACGGAGGAGAAGGGAGATGGGCTTCAGGTAGTAAATGGTCTCTTGGGTATCCCTGCACTGGGATAGGCGCTGGGGATGCCAGGCAGGCTCCTTGCTTCTATGCTGTGTGGCATGAACTCTAGTGGGCGAGATGGATGGTGAATTGGGAGATGAAGAGATGAACAAGATTGTTTAAGATCCTGGTGTGTACGTTGGGCAGACCAACAAACTAACCATTGAGTTTGTGGTATGTGAGTGTGACCCTGAGGCTGGGACTTAAAAGGTGGACATCTAGCCTTGCCAACAATGTGTGATGGTGTGGGATACAGAGTAAAATCCAGCAGATGACTTGATTGGGTCTAAGTGTTCTGGCTGCTGGGCAGAGAATGGAAGGCAGGAATGAATGAGGAGCAGATGATGGTGAACAGTGTGTATGGGAGTTGCTGGAGATGGAAGGAAAGTGGATAGATTCTCTTTTCAGCTAGTTGCCAGGGACTAGCTATTGAATTGGATGTAGGGCTGAGGAAACTGGAGAATTCAGTGATCCTGACTTGAAAAACTGAGTAGGAATAGAGGAACTCTTTATTCAGAGGAGAATGGGGGGACCTACAGGATTTGGAAAGATATCAAGAGTCTTCTTCCCTCCTTCTCTCTCACCACCTGCCCCCACAGGTCTATACACGATATGGGAAGTGTTACACCTTCAACGCGGATCCACACAGCTCACTACCCAGTCGAGCAGGGGGCATGGGCAGTGGCTTAGAGATCATGCTGGACATCCAGCAGGAGGAGTACCTACCCATCTGGAGGGAGACAAGTATGCAGGCGGGAAAGGGACAAGGACCAACCTGGGGTACTGGGTGTGGGGCCTGGGCCCTCAGCCTGGGATGGTTTTCCAAAGGTCCTCATCTCTGCTATGCAGATGAGACGTCATTTGAGGCAGGCATCCGAGTACAGATCCACAGCCAGGATGAGCCTCCCTACATCCACCAGCTGGGGTTCGGCGTGTCCCCAGGCTTCCAGACCTTTGTTTCTTGCCAGGAACAGCGGGTGAGCAACCCCAGCCAGGACTACATCAGGCAAGGGGCAGACTTCTGTGCTCAGAGGGATGCTGGCCATGCCTCCTGCCAGAAGCTCATACCCTGCCAGCCCCATGGCCCTTGCTAGGAATGTGGGTGCTGGAAGGTTGGTCAGGACTCCTGACCTTGACTTCCTCATGCCCTACCTCTGCAGTTAACATATCTGCCTCAGCCCTGGGGCAACTGCCGGGCAGAGAGCGAACTCAGGGAGCCTGAGCTTCAGGGTTATTCGGCCTACAGTGTGTCTGCCTGCCGGCTGCGCTGTGAAAAGGAGGCCGTGCTTCAGCGCTGCCACTGCCGGATGGTGCACATGCCAGGTGGGCACCCCACCCCAGCCAGTCCTCAGTGCGACTCTGCTGAGCTCTAGAGCCTCTAGGGGCAGGGCACTGCTTGTGTGCTTGGGCAGGTGCACATGTACAACATGTGCATATGTCTATGTCCATGAGAGTATGCTTGTGTATATGTTTGGCATTTTATATGTTTTCATATATGCATTTGGGAATACATGCATGTACATGGCTGTGTATTTGGTACTATGGACCTATGCATGTGTGTGCTTGTGTACATCTGTGCTTGTGTATTTGAGGAGTTGTGTTCATGGGCTTAAATATATGTATACAAATGTGTATTATGTGTGTGAAGGCAAGTGTTCATATGTTTTCATGCACACGTGCATGTATGCATTTTATATGCATGAGTGTGTTTAAGTTCATCTGCGTATGTGGAAGTGAAAATATGCATCTTTGTGTGCATGTCCACACTTGGGTGCATGGTGAGGGAGAGGGGAAGGGAGCAGAGATCCCAGGAATAACCTTTTCTTCTTTCAGGCAATGAGACCATCTGCCCACCAAACATCTACATCGAGTGTGCTGACCACACACTGGGTCCGTGCTGCCTCTCCCCTTCTTTACCCTTCCATCACCCTCTTCATCCCTCTGCACACCCTTCTCCTCACTGTCTTGGCTCCTCTCCTTCTAATCTCTTCCTGGAGGGTTCTTCCTGGGGTTGAGCCTTAACTCACAACTCAGGAGGTTCTGAGGACCTCTGCTGGTGCAGACACTTGGGTAAGTGGGGACAGACATGGGGGGGTTGCAGAGAAGCCACAACTGGGAGTAAAGGGCTGAATTTCCCATCTCAGTTCAGCCAATGAGCTTGCTTTCTGTGAGAAAGCACAGTAACCTCTGTGGGTCGCAGGAAAAATGCATTGCTGACTATGAGTGTGGGTAAGGCAAACCCCATCTGTCCACAGGTCTTGCCTGATCTGCAACTCATCCATCCATCCATCCATCTACTCACTGATTGGTTCATTAATTCTCAGCCTATGCTGGATGCTGGAGATGAGTGTGGAAGCAAGAGCCCTGCCTTTGCAGAGTGTGCAGTTCAGCAAGGCTGTGGATGGGTAGAACAGGGTGGCAGTTCTGGGATGGGGAGCAGTTCCAACCTGGGAAGGCAGGGAGAATTCCCAGGGGAAATGACATATTAGCTTAGCTTAAAGGGTGCATAAGAGTCAGCCAGGTACAAAGTGGGGCAAGTTCTAGGCTACAGCAGGGACAGCATGTGCTAAAAGACCTTGAGGCCAGAGAAAAGGTGCTTTGTCTAGCGTACCTAAAGGGCACTGTGGCTGGAGGCAGAAAGCCTGGGAAGGAGTGGAAGGTGTGGAAGAGGGAGGCTCTGGGATGTCAACAAGGGCTTAAAGTAAGGCAGCAAGGTCATCTGATTTTCCAAAGGTGAATTGATGAGACGTAGAGTGGATAGGACTTGAAGCAGGGCACCATTCACCAGTTCATTGCAGTAATCCAGATGTGATAGGGCCCCGGGGATGGGTTTAGATGCTGGGGTGGCAACTGGCATATCCAGACCTTCTCCATCCCCCACACCACCTGCACCTGTCAGAGGGGTGATTGAAGAGTGTTCAATGAAGGAACAGATATTAAGGGATGGCAAGAGTCCACAGAACTAGTAACACCAGGGAGCCTTCCTTCACTCTTCTGGGCCCAAGGGGAGAAAGGAAGGGAGCACCATGGAACCAGAGAGAGAGCTGGGGCTGTCTGAGAGGGCTGACTTGATGGCAGCATGCACAGGAGGAGGAATGCAGCCTCTGCCATCCTACAACCTGGTAGTGAGGAAGCAGGGGAAGAAATACACTGGCACCTCTGCCCTCCTGCCTGTTGATCCTGCCCAACCCAAAGCCAGAGGGCAAAGGAGATTGACCTCCTGGAGCATGCAGCAAGGCAGAGGAGAGTAGAGAAGGGCCACACAGAGAAAGCCCAGCACACCAAGCATGTGAATCCTGTCCATCCATTTGTTCTTCTGTCTGTTCATCCACCCACACATCTGTCCCACCATGCCTCCTAGTGTGCTCTGGAAGATGGTCTCTGACCTCCCTCTGAGCCATGGGGCCTCCCTGTTCCAGAGGACTGGAGGCAGAAGGAAAAACTTGTGGGAGGGGGCTTGGCCTACACCTCATCTCTTGGGAAGTCTAAAGGTAGTCAGGGGTGGGAGCAGCCAGCATCCTCTAGGGAGTACCAGGGCTGGCCCTCCATGTGGACATGCCTGTCTCAGGCTAGCCCCTGTACCCGCCTCCCGCAATCAACGGGCCTGAGGGCCACCCTCCCCCTCTGCAGTTGGTGCCTCTGTGTTGCAGACTCCCTGGGTGGGGGCTCTGAGGGCCCATGCTTCTGCCCTACTCCCTGCAACCTGACCCGCTATGGGAAAGAAATCTCCATGGTTAGGATCCCCAACAGGGGCTCAGCCCGGTACCTGGCGAGGAAATACAACCGCAATGAGACCTACATCCGGTATGTGCCTGCATATGGGCTGGGGTGGGGGTGGGGGCAGGGTGGAGGCTCCCTCAATAGGCCGGTGCATGGAAGAGACTGGGAGTGGGCTGCCTTTTTGCTATGATGGGTCTTCTGCTAGGAATGTCATCGACAATCCTTTTCTTCTAACTACCCATCCTTCAAGTGCATCCTGTGTTTACCTCCAGGGAAGCCCTTCCTGATGTAAATGTCGTTCCTTTGAGCACCCTCAGCACCCTATACATATCTCTGCCCTTGCATAGATACTGTTTTAGAACCCTTTATATGTCTTTCTCCCTTGCAACCTGGGAGCCATTACAAACATGTTGAGTGAATGGTGTGCTGGGGAGAAGAGGGTGGGATGGGAGAGGAACAACAAAGGGCCACACAGAGCCATTGAGTCTGGTATCCTATAGCCAGTCAACAAACACCACACATGATCTGCATGCCAGGCCCAGTGCTGAGTTCCATGGGGACAGATGGTTATGACATAAAACCTATGCCACAATTTGGGAAGGAGCCACGTTTGAGAGTGTAGCACTGATTCTCAAGCCCTGCTGGAAGAGAGGAAGCAGCTGGGGGAGGAGGGAGCGTGTGGGTGTAAGCTGGGCCTTTGAGACCCTGAGCTCAGGTTGGTAAGAGCTGGAGAGAGTGGAGGCATCCCAGTTAGAGAACAGTGGGGTGATGCCAAGATGAGCCAGGGCAGCAGGGGGCTGTATGGAGACAAGCTGAGAAGAAGAAAGCAGTTTGGATAAGAAGATACAGTGCAACAAGTCCACGGTAGCTTTGAATGCAGAGAACAGGAATTTTACAGTGGACTGATAGGCCATAGGGAGCCACTGAAGAGTCTAGGAAAGCATAAGGATGGTGCAAATTAAACACTTTTTGCTGCTTTAGAGGAGGCAGAAGACAGAACTCCAGTCCCTAGAGTTTTATTTTTTCTCTCCTGGACCCTTTGCTACCTCTCACAATAGAATGTTAACACACAGTTGGGGACTGCCTTCTCTCATGGCCTTTGAAAGCCTGAGGGGGTCTCAGATAGGGTTCAGCTATACCTGTGATGCCCCTGCCAGCATTCTCGGGAAAAATGGCCCCACACAGACACCCTGCTTCCTGTCTCCACAGGGAGAACTTCCTGGTCTTAGACATCTTTTTCGAGGCCCTAACGTCTGAAGCCATGGAGCAGCGAGCAGCCTATGGCCTGTCAGCCCTGCTGGGTAAGCCCTGGCCCCCTCCCCACTTACCCAGGTGGATCAATTCTGCCTGCTCCCTCTGACCTGCCCTCCTGCTCCCCAGGGGACCTCGGGGGCCAGATGGGCCTATTCATCGGAGCCAGCATCCTCACACTGCTGGAGATCCTTGACTACATCTATGAGGCAAGGGGTCTGGGGAGCAGAAGATGTGGGAAAGGCAGAGGGCCAGTGTGGGCTCCTGACAGAGCTGCTGGCTGGGAGGTGGAGCTCAGGGGTCTTTACCAGGTCCCCTGATGGGGCTGGAGATCTAAGGGCCCTGAGGAGTCAGAAGGGTTTGGGCTGAGATGATGGGGAAACGCTTTTGGGGGGCTCCTGGGCAGTGAGTTCTCTAAGGTGAGCTAAAGCCTTCCCTTCTCTACAAAAGTTCATGAGCCTACTGCTCTCCCCACTCTGACCCCCAAGGTATCCTGGGACCGACTAAAGCGGGTGTGGCGACGGCCCAAAACCCCCCTGCGGACCTCCACTGGGGGCATCTCCACTTTGGGGCTTCAGGAGCTAAAAGAGCAGGTGAGGACACACCTGAAGTCCATAGCCAGCACCCTCTCCCCAAGACTAAAGATCCCCAGAGTTCCAGAACTAGCCCATGGGAGGGTTCCCCAGGGTACAAGGGAATGCTGTGTAAGGCCTGAGAGCACCAATTGAGCCTCCCAGTCTCATTCCCTCTTCATCTTACAGAGTCCTTGTCCAAGCCGGAGTTGTGCTGAAGGTGGGGGGGCTAGCAGCCTGCTCCCCAACCACCATCATCCCCACGGTCCCCCAGGAGGGCTGTTTGAAGACTTCGCTTGCTAGGATGGTGCCGTATGTGAAAGGACCCAGGAGGCTGGGACTCCTTCGGGATCCCACACCACTCCCACTCCTGGGACAGGAGGCCTGGGGTAGCCCAGGGCTGAGGGAGAATCAGTGCTCACTGAAGGCCCTTACTTGGTCTCACTCTTCTAGACCCAGGCTCAGCTGCCTTGCACAAGAATCCTTCTTGTCCACACTCTCTATCCCCAGCTGGGTGCCCAGGGAGGGCTGGAGACCAGACCATGGGCCCCTGAGGAAGGGAAGAGACAGAGAGGTAGATGGAGGTCACCCCGGCAGGGCTGGCCCTTCTGTACATTTGTATATATTTAGGGAGGACAGGGTGGGGGTGGGGCACAGATATAGGAGGGTGGGGCTACAGGGGTAGGTGATTTGGGGACATCCAGGGTCTCAGTCCCTAATGTCAGCAGGAGAGGCAAGCCCCAGGACTCAGGCATGCTGGGCTGGTTCTATTCCCTCTCTCTAGGCCCAGCTCCCCTCTTGACAGGAGATGAGGGTGGGGAGCGGCCCAGCAGGCCTGGCCCAGCTCCCAGTTTCCCCTGCACCAGCCCCACCCAAGTCCCCTCCACAGGGAGTGGATAGGAGACCTTTCAGTCCTTGGCTAAGCCTGGGGCGGGGGCAGGGGCAGGGTAGGAAGGGAGCCTTCTTAGGTCTCTCTCCCTGCAGACTGGTTTTATAAAGTGCTGATGGAATTGGGAATAAAGCAGCATAAAGAATTCTCTGTGTGCATGTGTGAGAGCGTGCACACTGGGCTGGGCAGCTGCATGCCTTGGTCCCTACGAAAGGAAATGCAGGCCCCAGCAGGGACAACTCTGCCACCCCAGGTCTACCTTTCAAAATTCCAATCACCAGTCCACACTCAGTCAGTTTATTAAAGGCGGGGAACTTCATCAGGGGTCCAGAAGGGAGAAGGTGGAAGACACCCCCCTTCTCAACTCCTCCCCTTGTCCAACAACTTAACTGCAGCCCAGTCCTCAGGAGGCATGGCTGGCGTCAGACAGACAGCACTGCATAAATACACTGAGGCCACAGCCTGAGTCAGCAGTGTCAAGGGGGGCAGGGAAACTGGGTTTGGGGCAAAAGGTGTGGCTCTGGGGCACCTCCCTTAGGGCTTGTCCTGAGCCCAGGGGCCCAGAGTCATAGATAGGACCAAGGGCTGTCCTTGGGGTCTGAAGCTGTAGTCAGCCCTGTCCGGCAAGGCCGGCAGGTGGCTCCAGATGGTTGGGGAGGAGCGAGGCAGAATGCAGGGGCCCAGAGCATGGTCAGGTGCTGTTGCCCTGTTCCTGCTCGAAGAGCAGCATAGCAAGTTGGGTTCGGGAGCCAAGGCCCTCCAGCACACTCTGGCGGCAACGGTGGTACAAATCCTCACTGAGCCGTGCGCTGCACGACTGGGCCCGGTAGCGCTGCAGCAGTGCTGGCTCCACTGCCCGCAGCACATGCAGGCCAGAGAAGCGCAGGAACAGCTCATACACATCCAGACTCTCCAGCAGCTCCTCTTCTTGCTCCGAGGCTGCTGCCAGCCTCCCACGGGCTGCCACATAATCGGAGTTGTAGAAGCAGGCCTCGCTGGCTGCCTGGTGATCAAAGCGACCTGTGTCTCGGCCCAGCTCTGGTGGTCCAGGCCCTTGTGGTGGAGCAACGGCTGGGTGGAAGGCCTGGAAGTGCATGGGAAAGAAAGCCTGCCAGCCAGAGATGGCATGCATGCGACAGCGGTTCAGGAAGTCAGGTGTGAGCACTGTGTCTGGCCCGGCCAGCAGGAACAGTGTGTCCAGTGGGTGCTTCTTGGAAAGTAGATCCATGAGGCGTAGTGGGAGGGTGCAGCTGTCTGCACACTGAGCCAAGGCACCCGGGCACCAGGGAAGCGCCGCTCTAGCTCTGCCACGTGGGCCTTGACAGGTGCGAAGACATCTGCATGGGCCGCCCGCTGGGCCTGGCGTGGCTCGTACAGTAGGAGTAGAGTCAGGGCTGCTGCATCACCAGGCTCCAGGGCTGCAGTGGCGAAGGCCTCCAGGAAACCTGGGGCCAGGTCACGCTCAGCTGCAGACAGAGGCAGCAGCACAGTGAGACGCGAGGCCTCAGTGACATAGGGCACAGGCAAGATCTCCACACGGCTCAGGGGTCGGAGGAGCTGCACCCGGCGGGTAAGGGGGCGGCGGCCACCCTGGGGAGTCAGTGCCTCCAGCTGTAAGTCCAGTGTGTACTCCATACCCCGGGCTGGATCAAAGCGTCGGTAACCATTAACAAGTTGCTGCTTCTGAAGTTGCAAAGCTGGATGGTAGCGACGGTTGAGCTCCTCCAGGGCTGTCCCCAGAACATCAGCCACATCAGCCTGGTCAGCCCCACGTAGTGGACAGCGGGGCGAGCCATCGGCGCAGGAGAAAGCATGTTGCTCTGTGAAGTAGTCCCAACGCAGGACCTCAAAGCGTGATGTAGGGCGGGATGGGGCTGGAATGCCCACTGGCCAGGCAGCAGCCTGGTCCCCATCAGCAGCCAGTTGGCTGGTGTTCTGGATCTCCCACTGGGCCAGAGAAACAGGCCATGAGCAAAGCATGGGCCATGAGGCTAGCCTACAGCTGGGGAGCTGCACGGGCTGTCAGTGCTACTCAGGATGAACCCCTCAGTCCAGTGCCAGGCTCTCTTCCATCCTTTCCAGGAATGGAAGCAGTCATAAAGTTAAAAGGAGGATTTCTAGAGGCTCCTCAGAGAAGAAGAAAACAGACAGGGACTGGGAAGTAGGTTTGTTCTGATTCTAGGGCTAACTTTTTATTTTCTGGGATGTGAGACCTCAGACCTTGCTCTCCTCACCCTTTCTTCCCTTACTCCCCCCAAGCCCAGGCCATACCTGCAACTCCTGGATCTCCTGGTACGTGCGCTCCAGCTCAGCTCTGGCAAAAGCTTTGTGCAGCTGGTACATGTGCACAGGGTCATGGACAGGGTGCGCTGTCAGGGCACTGCGGAAACGAGGGTCCCCTTCATGCGTGGGCTCCCCAGGGCTCAGCTCCAGATAGTTATAGTGCACCCCCTGGGGAAAGGAAGGTTTAGTCTATAATGGGAAGAATGACAAAATTGTCTTCCCCCTTGTCTCACAGTGTCTCACCTCCTTATCCCACTACCAGGCAGATTTCTGTGCATTTATGTCTGCCATGACCAGCTGAGCTTGTGTGACCTTGGGCAAGCCTATGCCAGCTCATTTGTGAAATGGACATGCAACCTGTCTCAGGGCTGTCATGGGGCTCAAATAAAATAAGTAACATTGAACACCTACTACATACAAGGTTGCCTTATTTTCCCTAATCCTTAAAACAACTCTGGGCAGTAATTATTTCCATCGGCATGCATGAGGGTACTACAGCTCAGATTTAGTAATTTATCCAAGGTCACAGAGATAGAAAAAGAAAGATCTGGCATGGAAACTGTCTTTATCTCTACCAGCCCTTCGCCTCCCCAGGGTGTGTGCAAGTAGGTAAGTCACTAGTGAGGAGGCTTATCTTCCCACCTCATGGTCACCAGTGCAGCCCACTCCCGTGGCATCCAGGATGCAGCGTCCCAGCCACTCATCTGGGCGTGCACTGACGATGTCATTGCGGCAGCCTTCCAGGTGGGGGCGCAACTGCTGTAGCAGTGTGCGAGACAACAGAACCCCAAAGCCTCCATGGCAATAGCGACCAGGGGTGGGCTCCCCACCAATGAAGTCCTGGGGCCTGCCGAGATAGAGGTGGGTAGCCGCGGCTAGACTGAGGTGGCCAGTTAGGCGTGCCAGTCCATGTGCCTCCGTATAGGTGGCATCAGGCACTAGGAAGAACCAGTCAAAGTCATCGCCGTGCTGTTCCAGCAGGTGGCGCAGCGCCAGGTGCAGGTGCCCGATGGGCCGCTCCTCTCCCAGCGTTACCACTGCCATGCCCGACGGTGTCCTGCGGCCCCGCGCGCCTGTCAGGAACACCACACGCTCTAGTCGGTGCCCCAGCGTGCGGTTCACAGCCACACCCAGAGTGGGTAACGTGGCCTGGGAGGTCAGCACCGCCACCAGCAGCCTCTGCCTGATGCCCAGCTCTGTGCTGATGTATCGAGTTCTGGGAGAAGACACAGCATAGGGTTATCAAAAAGAGGCCAAGGCAGAGGAGAGACAGCACACACAGGCTCAGCACATCATATCTTCTCTGGGCCTGTTTCTTCACCTACAAATAGAATAACCCCCTCTCCCAGGAGGCATGAGGATTTAAGTGAAATACTGACCTTACACATGTTGTGCTTTGCATTTGGGAGATGGCAATATCCGTGCGGATATGAGAGATATATCCCTGATCTGATTCCTGATTTCACTCTTAGGAGTTGTGTCCTTGAGCACATTATTTAATCTGAGCCATCTGCAAAATGGGACTGAACGTACCTATTTAAAAGGAGCCAAACGCTTGACACGCTGTGCATATACTTGCTTCTATATAAATATGCCCTCATACCACAAGTACAATACTTAAATGATGCAAAAGGAATATATGGCACAGGAGTGTATTGACTGCATGGGTGGGGGGGGGCGAGGACTAGGACAGTAACCTTCCTAAGGCAGAAGATGCAGAACTGGAATTTGAACCCCGTGTTACTTAGGAAAAATTATTTCAACTCATGAGCAGAGACTTTAATGGCATGAGTACATTGCTTCCTCCCCCATCTCACCCAGAGGTGGCCCTGATAACCATTCCAGGAATGAGAAACAGGTAAATCCTATTTTTCGCCTCTCTGTATACATTCATCCTATGTACCAGTCACTTCTCTAACCTCAACAGCCCAGCTAGGAAGCTAACAGGATCTTTGGGGGACCATCGGGTGGAACTGGTTTAGAACAGAGGCAAGCTCGCCTCAGGCCGAATGGGGCCCAGAGAGAGCTTTAAACTGGCCCCAGGCCTCTCAGGAAAACAGAGCCATCGGAAGTTATCGGAGCCCAAAGACTTCCTGGCCGGCCAGCCCCTTCCTTCCGGAGCTTGACCCGGCCCCCGGCCGCCTCCCCAGCGTGCGCGCGTCCCGCTAGTGTCCAGGGGGTGGGGCGGACAGAGCTGATCACTTACCTGACGGCCTTCTTAGCGGCCTGGCCGGGCTGTGCCGGGTGGTAGGGCAAGACACGCGGCTCCCAGTTCTCCCCCGTGCCTGCGCCGGCCCCGGGCCTCTCGCGCTCTGCTCCGGGCTGTACGGAGTTGGGCCGGCGCGCCGCGTTGGTGTTGCCGCGCAGCGGCAGCTCAGAGTCTCCGGGTTGGGGCGGCCCTGGGCCGCACGGCTCCTCCACCCAGGTGACGCTGAGCAGGCTTAGGGTGAAGCCCAGGGAGATGCCCACAGCCACGGGCCCTGCGGGCCGCAGCACCGACAGCAGCAGCGATGCCCGCATGGCGCCCGGACAGCGGGTCCCCGGCACCGGCGCAGCCCCACAGCAGCCGGAGGAGACTCCGAGGGGGCGGGCCTGGGGAGGGGGCGGAACCGGAGGGCCCGGGCCCAGCGGGCTGGCCCGCTCCCTCCCCGCCGAGCAGAGCCAGCGGCCCGAGCCGAATCCCCCGCGCTGTGTTCCGATTCCCCTGTAGCTGCGCTCGGCGCCAGAGCTTCGGCCGCTGCCGCTGCTGTCCGACGTGTCACTGCGAGGGCCCCGCCCCCGGGGTGGGATCACAGTATCCAGCTACCGGAGAGGGAGGAGAAGGGGAGGTTAAAGGGGAAGGACCCCCGGAAGTGCCCCCTCCTCAGTGCCGGAGAGGAAGACGCCGGGGGCGGAGTCCCTTGCCTCTCCCGGCGTGGTTGGTGCGTCCCGAGTGACGTCAGAAGCAACCCGCCCCTGCCTGGATGGTGCGCCCTAAATGACGTCAGGAGCAGAGGCCGGAGCTGTCCATCAGCACCAAAGGCCGCGGGCGGGCTTAGGGCATGGGGCCGCGGCTCTGGGGCAGCCCGAGCCCCTGCTCCTGCTCGTTTTTCCGCTCCGGGCCTGGCCGGAATCCCCGGACGCCGCGGGACTACAGTGCCAACCGGTGTTGGAGGTGGAGTGGCACCGCCGTCGCCCAGAGATCGGTCCCTCCGGCCCAGCAGCCGCCTTCCCTGCACGACGGACTTTCCCTGGACCCTAGTCAGTTGGAGCTTCTAGCGCCCTGCAACCCCGGCCGCTCAGGCCCCAGCTCGACCTCTTTCGCTCAGACGCTCAGGTCGCCTCCAGTCCAGGTAGATTTTGAACAATCCCAGATTTAGCGTCCCACAAATGGTCTCCTGGCTGCTTCCTTCTCACCGGCAGCGCACTGTCCTCATCTCCCCCCAACCCAGTCCCCCTTTTAACTTCTTCCCAGTCCCTTTAACCAGGCACTTTTATTTCCCTTTGTCTTTGCTCTCCATTCCGAGGACGCTTCCAGAGCAGCATGATGTGGGCACCATTCCTTTGTCCACTGTGTCCTCGCCGAGTTCTCCCACTCCCACCCTCATCCTGGAGGAGACCCAGGACTGACTCTTCCTTTACCCCAACTTCCTCCCTGTCAGGTTGACCTGGGAGGTTGACTCTCTTCTGTTCCCAGCACTATGCCAGGCACTATGGAGACACTGCGGTTTCAGTTACTGCCCCATGAGCCAGATGATACCTTCTGGGGTGCACCATGTGAACAGCCCCTGGAGCGCAGGTACCAAGCACTGCCGGCCCTCGTCTGCATCATGTGCTGTTTGTTTGGAATCGTCTACTGCTTCTTCGGTGAGATTCCCCGTCATTCCTCACCTGGGCTCCCCACAATTCTCCTAAATTCTCTTCTGGGTCCCCCAAATATTTTCCAGACCCCCCACATGAATAGCTATCTTTTTTTTCCTCTTTCATCCCATTTATAGATCATCTAGAACACAGGTTTTTGAAGTAGGCTCCCTGAATTTGAGCTTGTTTCTGTAAGTTAGTAACTGTGACATATTAACCTGTTTGAGTCTCAGTTTTCTCACCTTTATAAAGAGAACAATGATATTTGTCCCACAGTTATTATAAGAATTAGTAGGCATTCAAGAAGTAGTAGCTTTTGTAGTGAAGATATGTTTGGGACACTGTGCTAGGCAAGCACTGGAAACACTTAGCAGAGTGTTTAAACATGGTCCCTTACAACAGGCATATTGTATGACGGGGGGAGAGACTCCTAGAATAGTCACACTTGTGATACATATTAGAGTGGGTTGGATGGTAGTCACACACCAGGAATTCGCCTACAAAGCAGGCAGACTCTTGTAATGAGGGCTGCTGTGAAGAGGTGTTTGGTTTTTTTTTTTGTGTGTGTGTGGGTCTGGGGTTTGAACTCAGGACTCTTGCACTTGCAAACCAGGTGCTCTACAGCTTGATCTCCAGTCCTACTTCTGCAAAGAGTTTTATGGGGGAGGGGGTGAGTGTGCTGGCACACAACTGTGATCCCAGCACTAGAGAGGTTGAAGCAGGATAATGGAGAGTTCAAGGCCAGCCTGGGCTACCTAGTGAGACCTGGTGTAAAGGAAAAAAAAGGTTGTACAGTATACTTCCTCAGGGAGTTCAGTTGAAGAGGCAAGTGGGTGCTGATATCTTGTGGTTGTGTTCCTCTTGACAAACTTGAGGCCTTGGTCCGTGGCTCCTTCCCCTCAAGAAAGGTACACCTTTTTCTAATTTGCCCCAAAGGTGTCATATGAGCTAATGGCAGTGATTCTACAGCAGGAGTTACAGAACGTGAAAGAGGAGAATGTGTTCTGTGGTTAGGGGCCCAAGGAAAGCCTCTGGTAGGAGGATTATAAGTGAGGGATTATAACCTGTGGGGGCAAAAAAGGCTGTCAGGTTTGGGCAGGACTGTGAAAAGATTTATCTCTGCAGCCTATGTACCTCCCCCTGGAATGGGTGGGTAGATGAGGTGGGAGTCAAATTGTCCCTCTCCTTCCACCTCCAAACTCTGGAATTAATACCTGCAGAGTGGACCAGAAGTACTCCCCACAAAGGATCAGGATATGTCTGGGGCCCCAGTCTCTATGATCATTTCCCCATCCATTATCCATACCCATTCCCTCTGCATGGTGCTCAATGGAGCCTCATAGCCCCTCTCCTGGAATTTCCTAATACCCTACCCCTCTTGGATGCCTCTACTCTTAGACTCTGAGCCCTTGTCTAAGCCCTATTCCGCTCTTAGATCCAGGAACCTCCTAGACTCTGATATTTACCTTTATCCCTGGAACTGAATTTCCTTCTTATTCTCTTTCTCTTTGGCTCTCTCTGACCCCTTGAGCCATCTTCCCAACTGTCAGGATCCACACCTCCCTCACTCTTTCAGGTATTGTTAATGGGTGTATTGGCCCTACAACCTCCTCTCCTGAAGTTCCAGAACCACTATTTCTCTCTATACTCCTCTTTGATTTTCTATGACCTTGTATAGCCCTAGTGACCCCTCCCCACCCCCTAGTTATCTCATTACTTTGCATTCATCTGAGCCCTTCTATAACTCCTAGCTGTTATCCTTGGTTACTCCTAACTCTCTGAGCCCTATAACAATCCATCATTGGATTACTACCCCCCCACCCCACCCCCACACATACTGTGATCTCAATGACCACATTTCTCTGGTCATAATTCCACTTTTGTCAGTCCTCCTGACCTGCAAAGACCTCATCTCCTGGAACTCCCCCCACCCCCAATAACCCAGCTCTCCATCCTCTTTGTAACCTTCCAGCGATGTCTTATCTCTGAAGCCCTGTGACCCCTCAAAGATACCATCTTTCTGAACCTGTGTGACCCCCATATCTCAAGTTTTTTTCTGACTTTTCATCTTTGAACAACCCCTCCCCAAAGACTAGTGACTCTATTGCTGATCCCCTTGTGACTCCAGTGACCTTCTCTGAGTTATGATCCCAAAGACCCAATTGATTCAATGTTGACTCTAATGATCATTATCTCAATAATTATGTTTTTCCAGTGACCCCCAACAAATGTAGCTTTCTGACCTCCTCTGACCCCAATGGTCCCATGACTGATGACCTCATGACCCCAGGGCCCCCCAGTTCTTTGATCTTAGTGTCCATGTCCCTGATTTCCCTGTGTTCTCATCTTCCTGACACCTCTGACCTCCTTTCTCCAGCCTGGTGATCTCATTTTGGCCCCTCATGGGCTCTGTTCCTCTCCAGGTTACCGCTGCTTCAAGGCAGTGCTCTTCCTCACTGGGTTGCTGTTTGGCTCAGTGGTCATCTTCCTGCTGTGCTACCGAGAGCGGGTGCTGGAGACGCAGCTGAGTGCTGGGGCAAGCGCCGGCATCGCGCTGGGCATTGGGCTGCTCTGCGGGCTGGTGGCCATGCTGGTGCGCAGTGTGGGCCTCTTCCTGGTGGGGCTGCTGCTTGGTCTGCTGCTCGCTGCTGCCGCCCTGCTGGGCTCCGCACCCTACTACCAGCCTGGCTCCGTATGGGGCCCACTGGGGCTGCTGCTGGGGGGCGGCCTGCTCTGTGCCCTGCTCACGCTGCGTTGGCCCCGTCTACTCACAACCCTGGCCACCGCTGTGACTGGCGCTGCGCTCATCGCCACTGCTGCGGACTACTTTGTGGAGCTGCTACTATTGGGGCGCTATGTGGTGGAGCGACTGCGGGCTGCCCCTGTACCCCCACTCTGCTGGAGGAGCTGGGCCCTGCTGGCACTCTGGCCCCTGCTCAGCCTGCTGGGCGTTCTGGTGCAGTGGAGGGTGACAGCTGAGAGGGACTCCCATACAGAAGGTGAGATGGCACAGGCCGGGGTGGCCATGGGAAGAGGGGATGGTCAGGGAGGGGTGGAGGACTGAGGGAGTGGGGAGAAGGGACAGACATTGTACACACCAAAAGTAGAAGGTCAATAGGGTGAGAGAGCTGACTTGCTCATGGTCTGAGAGGATAGGGCAAAGTGCTTCCGTTCATTGCACGACAATGGGTGGAGAACTGGCTCTGGGCAGATATAAAACAGAAAAGGAGGGACTCAGGACCTAGTGAGTGACAATGCACCTGCCCTACAAGCCCAGGGCCTTAGGTTTGATCTCCAGCACCACAAAAACAAATAAAAACCAAGCCCAACTCACCAGGAAAGCCCCCCACCCTTTGTGTGTATATCTAGGCTAGGTGAGAGACAGATGACAAGACATGCAAACAGGATAATTCCAGTTACGAAGAGATATAGGAAGATACACAGGGCAACATGAGTGACTTTATATTAGGCTATGTAGTTAGGGTGGTCAAGGAAGGCTGCTTGGCAGAGCTGACATGTGAGCAGAGACCTAAAGGATGAGGGCCAGCATGAAAAGAGCTGGAGAAGAGGGGGCAGTAAGGGCAAGGGTCTTGAGAAGGAATGAATCTGGCTCATTTGAGGCAGGAACTGGAGTGTGGCTCAGATGTCAGGCTGACAGTGAGGGCACTGGGCCATGAAGAGGAATCTGAATTTTATTAGAAGGGAAGTGAGAGGCCATTGGGAGGCTTAACGCAGGAGAGGATATAGTGTAGCTTAGTGTTTGGGATGCTCATTTTGCTGCTGAGTGCAGAAAGCCTTGGAAGGAGGCAAGCGGAGAGGGGAAGCAGTGAGGAAGCAACTGAGGCTGTCCAATTGAATCATAATGGTGACTGGCCTGAGAGTTACTGTCACCTATGGCTCAGGACTAGAAGAGGGACAGCAGCTAGGGAGGGGGTACCTGGAAATCTAAGAATCTTACAAAAAGACCTTTGCAAGAAAGAACTGCAGGAAGTCTCATCTGGGAAATGGGGGACCAGGAAAGGAAGTGATTGGGTGGGGGTGGATGTAACCAAGAAAGGGAACCTGGAAGCCCAAATCCCACAATAGGAAGAGGAGGAGGGACTAGGGAGAGAAGAGGCATGTGTGTCTCTTGAGTCCTTCCTCTGCCTATCCCTCCACAGTGGTCATTAGCCGGCAGCGAAGGCGTGTTCAGCTGATGCGGATCCGGCAGCAGGAGGAGCGCAAGGAGAAGCGGAGGAAGAAGAGACCTCCTCGTGCTCCCCCCAGAGGTCCTCGGGTTCCTCCGAGGCCTGGACCTCCAGACCCTGCTTATCGACGTAGACCAGTGCCCATCAAACGCTTCAATGGAGATGTCCTCTCTCCGGTGAGCACCTTGAGCCCCTCCAGCTTAAATGTGGGAGAGGGGAGTGTATAAATCCTGTCCAAGCAGGACTAGGTTTTCCCCAGGAGCTGGTCACCATCTAGAAAAACATCCATTAGAACCCCTGCACCAGGGCCCTGGTGGATCAGTTCTGGGGATAAGGAAAAGGTATCTTGAATACAGTTTAAATGGGATAGGGTATGTGGTAGGTATCAGGGCTAAGGACATAGTGTGGGGAGGTCCTGGATCTGTGTAGTCTAGGGGAGTGTCAGGCTTGTGGATGTTCAGGAGAGGTGGCTTTCAGTGGTCTGCAGTGGTACTCACACCTGTGCTTACTCTCCCACAGAGCTATATCCAGAGCTTCCGGGACCGACAAACTGGGAGCTCCCTGAGCTCCTTCATGAACTCACCCACAGATGCGGACTTTGAGTATGGGTCCCGGGGACCACTGACAGCTTGCACAGGCCCTCCTGTGAGGGTATAGCTGTGTCCTCACCTGTCTAGACTCTGCAGTCACCAGCTCTGCCAGCTTGGGGAAGCCTGCCAGGCCACAACCCAGGCTGTCTGGTCCTGTGGCCTTTGGCTGTCCCCCTCCCCTCTCTGGAGAGGACTGGCCTGGCCACTAGAAGGGGGGATCTGACTCAGGCTAGGCCTGGCCTGAGGGGAGAGCCTCCTCCCAAGTTCCCGAGAGGCCCCTGAGGGACTCAGGGTGTGAGCCCCATTGGGGTGTGCTCAGGGTTGTGAGTGTGTTGCCCATGTATGCGTGTGTGTGAAGGGGTAGGCTTGGAGGGGACACTGGGACACTTACCTTAGATTTTTGATTGGCAGGGCTTCTCCAGGGTTGGCCCCACCTCCTATCCCACTCCTACGGGCCACTCTCCTGCATGTCTACATGGAGGAGGCCTGCCTGCCTCCCCCATTGCTCTGCCTTCCAACCACTCATCTAAGGGTTCTTGTCCTTGTTCACGGGGCAAACTGCAGCACTCCTCACCCTCACCTCACCCCTGGCCTCTTCAAAGCCGCTAGCCTAAAGGCAGTGGCAGGGGATTAAGGTGGGGGGTGTTGCTCTGGGCTGGGTTGGGGAAGAGGGTGGAGGGAGAGGGGCTCAAATGCACGGTGCATGTTTGGTGTCCATCATGCCACTCTGGACACCTCATGCTTCTGTCCCCCCACACCCTGTTTTACATCTTTTATAAATGTGCCAAACTGTGTGGGATTTGCCGGGCGTGGTGGTCTTCGGTGGCTGGCATGTCCACAAGTCAGCTGGAAGCTCTGCAGTCTCCAGCCCCTATGTTACCTACTGCAGGGGTTCCAGGCAATGTTTGTCCTCCCATGGCACACAGATAAGCAAGGAGATGAGCAGTAGCATTTTATTATTTCCTGACATCTGTGGTTCCTGTCTCTCTACCCTGCCCAGGAGAAGGGCACATGCCTTCCACATTGTTGGGAGGACACCCGCCTCGCCTGGTTCAGTCCTCCTAGTCACCTGCAGAGAAATGATTCCACATGGGGCAGGGAGAGAGTCAGTGCCACCTTCCTCCCCCCAGCAGAGTGTGGACACCCACATGGGAAGGGCTAAGCCCCACCCTTTCTGAGCCTCTAGGGGTAGTTAGGGTGGGGCAGAGCAGGGCATGTGAAGGGACTATAAGGAGTTAGGGGTAGGGCACAAGCATTTATGTGGAAGAGGGGGAAAAAATGGAACCTGCCCATGCTGATGTCGAACTCCCTTAGGCCAGCAGAAGCCAGCTGGGCAGAGAGCAGGAGTGGGTGAGGGACAGGTGTGGCAACAGGTAGTGGTGAGTAGGTGAAAAAGAGAGGAGCTGGTAGAAATGGGGTATTCAGGAGATTCAAGCACAGTCCACAGGCAAGAGGGAGTGAGGAGAAGCACCAATAGGAAGGGAAGGAAAAGGTGGAGACAGCTGATCAGAACCAAACACTCATGTTCAGAACTTGGGGCTTCCTCCTCTCCCCAGCCCAGATGTGATCTATCCTATTCTTCCCCTCCTCCCCACTTCCAACACCACCAGAACCAAACTGCCAAGATTCTTTCCCAGTGTTCTGGGAAAAAATCCTATAGGTGTGCTTCAGTCCTGCCGCTCCCAGGTGCTCCCTCCTGTTTCGCCAGCTGGCTTGCCCCTCTGACCTCTGCCCAATGTACTTTACTCACCTTCTACCAGCAGCTGTGTGTGGGCGCTGTCCTGGCCCGCCTGGCAGCAATAGGAGCCCTGGTCCTCAGGTTGCACATCATGGATGACCAGGCTGTGAGTGGGACCGTGGCTGCGCATCTCATACTTCCCCCCAGGGCACAGCTCAACCCCCTCCCATAACCAGCACACGTGGCTCCCGGAGCGGGACACGGTCACCTCCAACACGGCTCTGCGGCCAGCCAGAACCGTCTTCTCTCGAGGCGGGCGGCGGCACATCTGTAGAGGCAATGCTGGGGGTGCAGGGAAGGGGCTTAACCTCAGGAGGAGAGATATATCCTTCCTAAGGCCTCCACTCCTGGCATCAGTCCTCTATGCCATCAGTCTGTTCCCCTTCATCCCCAACTCCCCACCCACTCCCCAGGAAACGCGCTGCCCTCTATGACCTGTCCCAAGAGAGCCCTCCAAGGGAGGGGAGAGGAGAGAGGCAGCGTGCCTAGGACCAGCCGCCAGTCTGTCAGCTTTAGGATAGACGATGCTCCTTTCCTGTTCGCCCCGCCTCGGTAGCTTACCCTCCACCTCCAGCCGAGCCAAGGACTGGGCGGGTCCCGCCTGGAAGCGGACTTCACCAGCGTCCTCAGCTAGCAGCGAGCTCAGCACGAGAATGTGTTTCTTCCCTGGGGGCGAAGGGGGCGCTAGTGAGGCCCGAGCAACCTCTCCGGAGGGTTCGGGGATGAGGATAGGGCCGGTGCAAGACCCGGGGCAGCTCCGAATGCGGTAGGTGTGCGCTGGGATGGGCGGAATTGGGCTGCAGCGGGAAGAGAAGCAGTCGGGGACTCGGAGCTGGAGACGGAAGAAATGCCTGGAGACTAGGCTTCTAGGGCCGTGGGGCGGGGTCTATTATGATTGGAGGAGGAGCTTATCCTAGAGGGGCGGGGTCTGTCTGAACCAAGGGTATGGCCGCCAGGAACCCGAGAGGGTAGAAAGGCGTCCCGACCTTCCTGTCGGATGCGGACCCGTCCTCCGGCTCTCAGGGGGCGTCCTCCGAGCTCCCAGCGCCCAGTGATCTCGGTCTCCGACACAGTGCACTCGAATCTGGCGCTGTCGCCTTCGCGGGCTTGCACAGACTGGAGCTCGCAGAGCACTGACACCGCGCGCTCTGGGGCAGAGCCCGGGGCGTGAGGCGGGGCAGGACTAGACCACGCCCACGCCGCGCCCTCTTTCTAGTAGCACTCATGGTCAACCCGGGCGGGGGCCGGGAAACGCAGGTCTGCAGTCCCGAGCCCAAAGTACTGCCCAACCCCCTCATCGCCCCATACCCACCGCGCACGGTCAGGCGGACCGGCCCGGCACGGGTCGTCCCTACTGCGCAGCTGTAGGTCCCGGCGTCCGAGGAGCAGCAGCGCCGCAACTGGAGAAGACGGCGCGTGCCGAGAGCCTGGAGCCGGAGCCGCGGGCTGGGAGTGAGCTCGCGCCCGTCCTAGGGGCGGGAGTTGCAGAGGGTCGGGCAGAGCCCAGCTGGGCAGTAGCTGCCCTGGCCCTGAAAGACTGCGATGTCCCCTGTTGATGCCAAGCGGCCTGGAGGTGTGTTTATGTGTGCCTTGTGTTCAGCTACGTTCGGGCCGTCTCACACATTCCTTCCCTGGCGGCACCAGAAGCCTCTCTGAGATGGTGTTCCCTTTGGGAATCTTAGGGCGGAGAAAGAGTACTGCTTAGGATGCCCAGAGCAGTGTACCTAACGATCATACTTCATATAAATGTGGATTCTAGAACTAGGCAAACCTGCATTTCAGTATGAGCTCATTTGCCCTTGGCCAAGTAAATCCATCCCACTGAGCTTATTTCCTCATAGATAATAAACTCCATGATAATCAGACCTACCTCATAAGGTTGCTGTAAGGATTAAAAATGTCGAGTAAATTTTAGCACAGAGCCAGGGACAATGGCTCCCTGAGTATTAGTTCTTTCTGTTCCAGGCATTACTACTGTTCTTACATGGACAGATAAGCACCAGGGCTGGGCTCTGACCTTCTCCCAGGTAACATCAGCCAAGGCCTGGGAAAGCTCGCACTCCAACGTAGCTGTGTCACCCTCAGTCACCTCTAGGTTCTGTGGCCCCCGCACAATGGTCACTGGGACCTCTAAGAGTGGGAGAGGAAGGACAGAGCAGAGTGAGAGCAGGGGTAACGATGGGGACAGGTGATCCACTAGTGAGTGGGAGACATGTGGGGACAAGTAGTTTAAGGGGAATGCTGGACAGCCGAAGACAGTGGGGCCAGAGGGCCAGTGGGTGGCAGTGTCCAGCTGGGAGTCACACTTTGAGGTTGCCAGTGAGGGACATGCTGAGGGCTAGTGGAGGGACAAGGGGGAGACTAGAGCAGAAATACCAGAGGGGTCACCCTCAGGCAGGCATGGTCAGTGGAGGCTGTGTGTGGCTGGTCCACAGCAGACACTTGGTGGTGGGGGACACAGTGGCTCAGCAGAGCGGGGAAGGGGGGAACCCTAGAATAGGTGTAGTCAGTGGGGAACACACCTTGACTGGAAGCAAAAATGGGGCACTCAGCAGAGTTGCCAGCTATCATCCTTAGATGGCACAGTCAGTGGACTGGAGGAACTTGAGTGGTTACAGGAGCCACACTCAGGCAGGCAGAGGGAGCCACAAGAGGCAGGTATAGGCAGTGGGTCGCGGAATGGTCAGTGGGACCACACTCATGTGGACAGTTAGTAGGGACCACGCTGGCACACTGGTCCTGGGATAGTTGGGCCACACAGGACTGGAATAGTCAGAGCCACACTCAGGGAGGGTAGTCACTGGAGTTGTACAGGGCCAGAGGGTTGGGGAAGTCACACACTAGCAAGGAGCTAGTGGGGGCCACACTGCAGCAGGCAGGGTCAGTGGGGACCACACAGGCAGTGGGATCAGTGGTTACACACAGCAAGCAGCGTCAGGCTCACAGGCCACACCTCTCACAGAGAGCCTGGCAGCGCAGCGCAGAGAATCCGCTGTGAAGGAGATGCAGCCTGAGTCGGCCAGGCCCAGGCCACTGAGCTCCAGGCGGTGTGTGTGGCCCTCCGCGTGAATGTGGCACTTGGGCCCTGGCTGCAACCGGACTCCACCCTGGGCCCATTCCCCAGTCACACCCTCCTGGGACAGCTCCAGCTGGAAGGTGGCGCTGCCCCCTTCGCTGATGGTCACATCTTCCAGAGGCCGCAGTGCCTTCAATTGCCGTGCTGATGTGGGGAGATGGAGAGAGGAAGGATGGGGGCTCCAGCCCTAGCAGGGAGCACAGGGACTCACTCACCCCTTGGTCCTGTCCTTGCTGCCCCCTGCCCCTTATCTAAGGCCCTGACTTTAGAAGGTCTACCATTCACTGACCTCTGTGAGGGCATTTTTTATGTTATCTAAGTTAATGTCCTCAAAGTATCTAGCGGTAGAGACCATTTTTTAAGGATGCTCGGCTCAGAGAGGTTAAGTAACTTGCATGAAGGTCACACAGCTAATAAGAGAGCTCCAGCCTGGGGCTGGGATGGGAGGTACTATTTGTCAGCCATCCCTGCTTCTTAAATGGGTATTCCTGGGGCATGTGATTGAAGGATAAACACAGAGTCTTTTTTGGAGGACAATATTTATGTTTATAGCAAAGCCAACTTGGAAGTAGGAAATGGAATGCCAAGTCCACGTGGGCTTCTGAGGTAAATAGAAAACATTAGAAAAAGAGAGGTTTTGCTTTGGGCGGGCTGCATCAGGCTCCACCCGCAGACTAGGACAGCCACGGTGGACCTTCCTCAGCCAGGGGCACTTTGGTGGGATATCAGGGACTTTAGGACAGCCAGAAGAGGTTGTGCCGTGGGCGAATGGGCGTTGTGTTAAGAGAGGACGGGGCACTCACGCCTTACGCTGAGCCTGGCCAGGGTACGATCGTGGTGGCTTTCACAGCCGTAGGTGCCCTGGTCGGCCAGGATGACACCATGGATGGAGAGGCGGTGGATGTGGCCATCCTGGGCCATGGTCAGGCGAGAGTCAAGAGGTAGGGGTTCCCCACCTCGCATCCAGCGCACAGCCCCTGCCGTGCCCACTCGGCCTGTTTCCACTTCAAGGCACACATCTTGGCCTTCCTCGGCACGCATGTCCTGAAGGCGTCGCAGGAACAGCAGCTCTGTCTCTGGTGGGGAAGAAGGAAGGAAGCCATGGAGCCCGGTGGGGACCACAGACTGGGCCTGCTCTGGCTCACCAATCTGTCTGTAGGCAGAATGCAAGGCTCTAAGTCAGGTAGGTATAGGGATCAGAGCATTTTGTCCTCATCAGCACCGAACCTCGAACATGGAGCCGGGCACTTGTGGATGTGCCCCCTGCCCTGGCAGTTACGGTCCCTGTGTCCTGGAGCTGGCAACCTCGTATGGTCAGAGTGTGGCTTGAACCATTCTGGGCCATCTCCAGCTGGGGCCCTGGAGTGACAACAGCCCCATTGCGCAGCCAAGTGACATCCGCATCTGGTGGTGAAACCTCACACCGGAATGTAGCATCGTCGCCCTCGTGAACAGTCAAGGGTGTCAGCTCAGAGATCAGCTTCACCGGTGGTAGCTCTGGAGGACAGGGCCGGTGGTGAGCTGGGCTGGGCCTTTCCCCCTTCTCACCTTCTCATCCCTTCCTCAGGGTATAGGGCCCTCACTCGTCTTTTAACACACCTTTGGTGAGGTCCTAGTATGTGCTGGCCATGGGGGTGTCCCCAAAAGCCAGGATGTTGCCTGGTGACCTACCTTTCTTACTCCCTGATAACTTGACAATTACCCTGAGCCCTATTTATAGCCTTGAATGATCATCACAACAGCCCTGTAAGATATGCATTGTACCTCATTTCAGAGGTGGGGCTCAGAGAGCTTAAGCAACTTGGCTAATGTTCCACAATTCCAGGGGCCTAGAATCTGGGTTGGAACCTTGGTGGTCAACCCCAGAGGTCTTGTTCTTAGCTACCAGGCCATGCCTCCTCCTATTTGAGGTCCTGGAAAAGGGTCACGCGCACATAGGTGGGAGCCACAGGCAATGATTCAGGGAGGGAGTAAGAAGGTCCCAGAAGGTTGGGAGGTGGTTGTTGGGTTTCAAGGCGCAGAGGGTGTGAAGGGTACACTGTTACCTTCCACACTGACGATGAAGATGCGGCTGTCCTGGGGCATGTCGCACAGGTATTCCCCAGCGTCCCCGCTCCGTGCCCCCCGCACCCGCAGCACCTGCCTGGCCCCGGCCGGCTCCAGCTGCACCCGCCCCTGGCTTGCCAGGCGCTCCCCGTCCTTGTACCAGCGCACAGGGGCCCCTGGCCCGGAGAGGTGCACCACCAGCTCTAGGTCCCCGCCTGGGGTGCTCCGAACCCTCGTCTGGGCTGCCTCGGGGGCCACCACCCTCACAGGGGGCTCTGTGGGGTCAGAGCTGGGGGTCACTGGGAGAGAGAGGCTCAAGGGCATTGAGGAGGGCAGTAACAGGCAAGGGGTGCTAAGAGGTGGGACAAGGGGGCCAAATTGTGTTAGGAAATGGGGAAGCCTTGGGTTTTGGGGTACTACTCTGAGGCTTTCTGCCCACGCTATACTCACCAGTCACCTGGACGGTGAAGCTGAGGCTTGGGGACCCTGGGGCTGCCCCCGCCTGGCAGGTGTAGAGGCCAGCGTGTCCTGGGTCTGCAGCCCGGATACACAAGATGCGGCGGGGGCCCTCAGCTTGGAGCTCCAGGCCCTCACCATCCTGCACAGGCTCCCCATTGTGGCTCCAGAACACAGGGGCGCTCGCCCGGGACAGCTCACAGCTCAGCACCACAGGCTCCCCAGGGGCCACACACAGTGGACTAGGGGCTCTCTCTGGCATAAGAAACTGCACTGGGGTCTCTGTATAAAGAGAAGAAGGCGTGAGTCTAGGCCCGCCCCTGGCTCCCCACCCTGGGCTGGCCAGGTGTACCCACCAGCCAAGCTGACGTTAAAGGTGACAGCCTCATCACGGGTCTCGCACACATATTCCCCAGCATCCTCAGGCTGGGCATGGGGCAGGGTGAGGGTGCGGGTAGGCCCCTCAGCTCCCAGCTGCAGGGCATCTGATGCCTCTACCTCCAGCCCATCCTTGTACCAGCACACCTGAGACCCAGCTGGGGCCACCTCACAGCGCAGCTCTACGCGCCCTGGAGCCCTGAACTGCAGATCTAGAGAGCGGGCTGCGGGGTGCACAATCCTCTCTGGCGGGGCTGGTGGGTGGATAGAGAGAGGGGCACATAGGTTTATCCTGCAGGCCCCTTCCTGCCTCTCTACTGCATTTCACAGATGAGGACCTAAGATCTCCTAAGAGAAAAATGACTCGCCCAAGGTTGCACAGACAAAAAAGGTAGGACAGACTCACACCCAGATCTATCTGGTCCCCATGCCTACCCCAACCCTGAGTCTCCCCTTTCCCTGCTTTGCTGGTGACACACTTATCTATCACTACTGGACAAGCCATCTATTTCTTTTTTTTTTTTTTGTCATTCACCCTCACTAAAATGTAAGTTCCATGAATGTAGGAAGTTTTATCTCATTGGTTCACCACTGAATCCCAGCATCTAGAACAGTGTCAAGCACACAGTAGCTGCTTAAAAAGTATTTGTTGATGAACGAATGAATGCATGAATGAAAGAATGGCCCTAACTTTTGGGCTCCTTTCCACCAGGCCTGTGGTTACTGTCCCAGCTTGATTTGGGCAAGTGGGGCTCTGACTGTTGATAATGAGGAGGCTGGGGAGCAGAGGGCATTGTGGGGAGCAACCAAGGGACCTCTAGGATGCAGGAAGTAGGGATTGTTGGGTGCCTGTCCCTTAGCCTTCTGAGATGCCCTTGACTGCCCACCTGTGACAGTGACAGTGAAGAAAGCCGAGTCATCTCCAGCGTCACACACAAACTCGCCCCCATCCTCAGGCTGAGCAGCAGGTAACACCAAACGGCGACGGGGCCCATCACTCTCCAGCACCAGAGCCTCACTCTCCTCCACTTCCAGCCCATCCTTGTACCAGCGCACGGGAGCGTCCTCTTGAGAGAGCTCACACATCAGCACCACACACTCCAAGCTCACGGCGATTAAGGTCACCTCATCCCGGGGATATATGATCCGCACAGGAGGCTCTGTAGAGTGGGAGCAACCACAGGCTGTCAAATTTACCATCATCCTCCCTGGAGCTGTCTGCCAGCCTAACGCCCTGTTAACCATGTGATAATAAGAGTCTTGAGTGCAATAATACTAGTAAGTAACAATAGGTTCACAACCTGTTCTATGAAATCCCTGGGGCCAGAGGGTTAAGAAAATCCACAAAAAGAATTAACCTAGAAGGTAACACCCACGCACAGGAAATCAATGTGAGTCAATGCCCTGTATATCTATCCCTATCTCAACCAGCAAAACCCC